ATTGCTCTGTTTTAAAGGCCAGATTAGCAAAAATTCAGAATCATCTAATTTATGCATTATTGGGCATTTTTGAACATCAGAAAGCAAACGTCATTTTAGGCAAACATTTTACTAAGATAATGTGTTGTATTGTCAATTCATATTAGTGAAATTTGCTTACGTAGGCTGTTTCTGACAAAACCTGCTCGAGAAGTTTGAATTGACGGGATGGAACTGGCGTAGCACAATTCTAGAAATTCCTGCTGTCACCGCCAGCCCTGTCAGGAAGTGGAAAAGTTTCATTTCCTATGACACAAGGTTAGGGACTCAGTACCCTGCGCTTGTCTCTACACCTGTTCCACGGCGGCGATTCAGTGTTCGGTTTACGAGAGGCTGCTAAGAATCCCAGGTGAGGAAGGCAGCCAGTTGGTAAACAGACCAGAATTTCCCTCGCTGTGTGTACCTACAATTGCAGAACACCAGCGAGGGGAAAGTGTTCAGCTAACAATTAGAGGAAAGGGCAGACACGGCTTGCGGCATCCCGGACCTCAACAAGAAGCGACGGTAGAAGGAGATGAACAGCACGTGGAAGGACTACTGCTTGATTTCGCTAGGAAGATGAGAGGGCATGCAGAACGTAGAAACTATCCGATTTGAGTCAGCGAAAGATAGTCCAAAATCGTCTACTTCCATGTGAAGTCATTGAAACTGGGCTGCTTGGCCTCCAGCTGAGCAAGAACAGAGCCTTGAAGAGAATCGAACCCATACTCGCAGAAGTATAGCTGACGATGAGGAAGTAGAAGAATTCTATCATCATCTGGAACAATCATTGGTCCAAAAGTCTGCTCATACCCTCGTTATGGCAGACTTCAATACCGAGGTCAGACGAGGAAGGGCCGATGAAAACGTTGTCGGTGAATACGGCGTTGGAGAGTGAAATGAACGAGATGGTCGGCTGGTAACCATGGCAGAGGTGAAACGAATTCACTGGTTATAACACAAAAGAAAGGCAGTTGTCAAAGTGGCTTTCTCCATAGCCACTATTTTGACCGAACAAGAATTGCTTTTGGTTTGTAGGACAAACGATGAGAGAGCGAAAGATGACAGCCGTCTTTAGCGCAAATCTTCTGATTGTGTTTGTAGTAACTGAATCAGTACCATTAACAGGGCACACACTGCATTCTCCCTTAACTGTTCTTCAACGTTATTCTCATCTGTCACTTTTCCCGATGTGCGATCGTGACGTCACTGCTGCTGATATGGCTCAGAGTCAAAGAAAGAGATGGTATGAGGGGGAGGGGGGCGGAGCATAGGAGAATGCATATTCCTGAAAACTTTTCACTGACCTGTTAACAAGGCACTAGTAACCGCAGTTGGTATATGAGCTCATTATTCCTTTATGGGCAACTTGTTCGAGGTGAAGACTATTTCCATTAAAAACCCGGGAGGAAAGATTGGCAGCAATAGTCTTCAATAATTTTTGAAGGAAGCACGATGAAATGCTTGCATCGTATTTTCTATCCCCGTTTCAACAAAAATGACAGGTCAAGGGCAAGATAAACACACAATATAAATGATGATTATTGAATGATGGCAGTAAATGAAAAACAAAACGTAGTCCTTGCGCTAATTGGATGGCAAATATCTGGCTACAGTAGAGAAAAAAATTCCCCTTGGCAGATGATGAATTCATAATCATCCTAATTATTGGCTTAAGTACCTGCAAATCATTAAAAGTAGCTGAAACAGCTACTAGAATACTAGAAGAAAGTGATTAAAAATCAAAGATTACGCAAATTTGCATCCATCTCCGTAATCTGTGTGCGTTGTTTAGGCAAATTACTGCCTCGTATTAGGCGAAGACGATTATTAGGTCGTGGCTGGAGAGCGTCGAACGATACCGTCGTCTAGAAACCTGTTTTCCTCTGCGCTGTCTAGCGACTAACTGAGGTGACTATAGCTGGGCATTAGCCGCTCTAGAAACCACGTATCGACCGTCGCTT